TGGTGCGTCTCGCTCCTGTAGTAATTCTGATTAGAGGGGTGCAACTGCGGATGGATTTAAAGTAGATGTATTTATTTAAGAAAATTTTTTGTAACTTTGACATATATAGAATTATGTCAGATTATTATTAAATAAATAAGAATCTGTATAATATTCACTGTATATTAAGAGTTTTGAGTACTCTATATTTTAATTATGTAATTGAAAGTTCAAATTTTTGAACAAAATATTAATCTTAATAATATTGTTTTAGTTCTATCTATCTGTTTCTAAAAACTTATAATTGAATTTAGATAGATAGATTGTTAATACAGTATTCTTCTGATAAATCTTATTTAACTAGTCTAATATTTTAATTTAAAGTATAGAATTAAAAAAGAGAGTATTAAGCTGTTGAAAAATTAGTTCTGATATATACTGATTATCTGAGCAGTAACTTATTCAGAATTGAAATTTTACTAATATATTATTATCTAATCTACTGTGAATATATTATACTTAATTCAATAATAAGTCTATTGCTTGATTATTGATATTCAATTTAGTATTTATTTTTAATTTTTATATAAAATATAATATTAGATCTTCTATATATTTTTTAAGAATTGAAAGCTTCTTTTTTAAAAACTTTTTATAAAATATGAGTGTAGAGGAAATGATGAATGTAGATATACTTATTTCAGTTAGCTGTTATTATAGCTCAGTTATCTACAGTACTTACTACTGAAGAATATTTTGTAGATTTAGATTATTATTTATTATATTTAAATATAATAAATGTTTGTAGATCTGTTGATAACTCATTTCAGTATCTAAAGATATATAATTCTAGAAAATAAAATATTTGTAGATATTTGAACTCTTGTGAATACTATTTGCAGTATTACAGTACTAAGTTTATCAAACTTCTTTATAAACACTATTTACAGTGTTATAATTTGTAGACATTTGAGTTTCTTTGTGAGATAGTTGATTATATTATAAATGTTTAGATATGATGATTTATATATCTAATAATGAGGATATTTGAACTCAATAAGAGATTTATATAATAACTAGACATTCAAATCTTTTAATATAATCAATACACTTAGATATAGAAACTGATAATAAGATACTCAGATTTTAAATATAATCAATACATTTGAATATAGAAACTAATAACTAGATACTTAGATCTTAAATATAGAAGAATTGATTTGTAATATAATAAGTATATTATCAATTAAGCAGATATTACTGATATTATAGATTAAATCATTTATACTGTCTATACAGTTTATATAATCTATTTCAACAGCACTATCAACACACTTAACACTATTCTAATAACAGTTTATAAATTAATTAAAGAAAGAAAAAAAAAGAAGATTAGAAGAAGAAATTGTATAAAAAGATTTTTATAGACAAAAAAATTGAAGTAAAAAAAAATATCAGAGATTATACTCTGAAGAAATACAGAGCAGAAGAATTGTTAGAGTATTAAGATATATATAATTATAAGATAGAATTATAAAAAGATATGAGAGAACTTTATAAGTGTGTGTGAGTATATAAGTGTATGATAGAGAGTTGATTGTGTAAGTTAACTATCAACAAATGCTAACTCATTACAAATAAAAACTCAGAGAATTTAATACTTTATTGATATTTATAAAGATAATTTCTTTACTGATTTAAAAAATCAGTAGTATAACTATACAACTGAGTAATAGCTGTTATCTATCTAAAATCTGTGATTTTCACAGACTTTATAGAACTGCTGAAATATATATAATTTTATATATAATACTATATAAAATAATATAGTCAGCACAGTCAGTATAATTGATATAATTAATATAATTAATTGAATTAATATAATCAGTTTAATTAATTCAATCAGACTGACTGATTCAATCAATTCAGTTGATTCAATCAATTCAATCAATTCAATTAATTTAATTAATTTAATTAATTCAATTAATTTAATTAATTTAATTAATTCAATTGATTTAATTGATTCAATTGATTTAATTGATTTAATTGATTTAATTGATTCAATCAGTTCAGCTGATTTAATTGATTTAATTAATACTAATAATATAATCTATACAATCTATATATATAATTAAATTAATATATTCTTAACTATTAATATCTAATTTATACAGACTCTGTCTCTGCTTTTCTTATCTATTTTATCTCAGCAGTTTAATTATTTTTTTATTCTCTCTCTTTTATATTTTTTCTATACTCAGCTTTTCTTTTATATTTTTTTATCTATATCTTACTTTTTTCTCTCATTAATTTCTCTCAATATTTTTTTTTTATTTTTTTTCTATTTCTGTCAATATACTATCTCTGAATCTATATTAAATTATATAATTATATAATATTATAAATGATACAGTTTCTCTACTATTGTCTCTCTATTTATATTATTTTAGAACTTGAATAATTTTTTCTCTCTATTTTTTTCTATTTATCGGCTCTTTATTCTTCTTTTATTATTTCTCTCTATTTTTTTTTTATTTTTTTTCTCTATTTTTTTTATCTATTTTCTTTTTGTTATAAGAAATATAATCAGTTTTTCAATAAATTGAAAGAATATTCTCTTTTACTCTTCTATATACTCTTTCAGACACAGCAGTAATAACTTTTTTAAGAAATTATATTATAATTTTATTATAAATAATTATATATTAGATCAGAAGTGAATAAGCAGTTTAATAAACTGAGTTTTTTTTAAAAATTATCATTTGAATTCTATTTCTCTCTTTTTATATATATAGAAATCTTTTCAGTATAATATATCTTTATATTCTTTGAAAGACTGCTGAAACATGCACTCTGTCTATATTTCTCTGAGATATTAAACCTATATATATATATATATATATATATATATTATTTATATAATTATCTCTGTAGCTCAACTTTTACAGTAAATAGATATTAAAATATTGAAATATTGCAAACAAAGCTATTACAGTTGAAGTATTATACTATATTAATAGTAAATAAATAAAATTTATAAAATTTATAAGTTTGAGTAGACAGAGAAATTCAGAAAGTTGAGAATTGAAGCAGTAACAGTAAATAATATATCACAGCTGACTCAAAATAGTATATCAATCAATTAACAAAAATTATTAGCTGTTAAACAGTGATAAAAAGAATGAAACAGATAGAATATTTCTATAATAATTACATTTTTCAATTCTGTTTGCAGTGTATTAATAAGCTAAAAGAAGATGATTGACTATCAAATTGATGGCATTTAGAGCTTGGAAATTTAGATATCTATCTATTAAAATATATTAGTTGCTCAGATCTTTGATATAGTTGATAGACAACTTAGTATATAGTTGTCAGAAATAATATATTATATCAAGAATTCTATTAATTGCATCAGCAAAAATCTTCTATTAGTTCAATATTGAAAATCAGATTATTATTTCAGTGTATATTGACACTGTCTCTATTATATATTCAATTATTCTCATTCTTATAAATACTGTCTGATTATTATATAATTATTGGAGTTATAATAATCAGTTTAATTTTTCTATCAATATTCAGTATTTGGGTTAATATTCAGACTTTATCCAGTTCCGACACAAGTACTATCATGCCAAGGCTGGAGGGGAGGATGAGGAGGTGGCAGTGATTCAGTGCTGGATGCAGGGAACACATCGGGAGGTCTGTGCGACCACAATGCATGCAGGCTAACACCGCATGTGATTCTAGTAGACATGGTCAGAGGACTTGAGACCAAGACCAAGCACAGAGACAAAGAGCCACGTAAAGAAGAAAACAGGAACAAAATACTAAAGTGATAAGAAAAGGAGAGAGATCTGAGAAGATGAGCTTTTTTATACTCTTGTCAACAAAAACAAACTTCACAGCTCTTGCTCTAAACTCTAGATTCTATCAATCATTAAACTTTGAATTCTAACAATAGCTAGATTTAGAATTAACAACAAATCAAGAACTTTGACAACACATTTTTAATTTTCATTCTCATCCTCATCTTCATTTTCATCTTCATCTTTATCTTCATCCTCATCCTCATTCTCATCCTCATAGTGGAGAGCCTCTCCTGTATACCAATGAACCGCATAGGGAATAAGACTATCCTTGAACTCCTCACCAAGCTCAATATCGCAGTCTAGAGCTGAGTCCTGATCTTCTTCATCATCTTCGCCATCTTCGCCATCTTCGCCATCTTCACCATCTTCACCATCTTCGCCATCTTCGCCATTCGCGACGCAATCAATTTTTCTCGCACCACCATTATCTGGTCCTTTTTTGTTGTCATTGTATGTGAGTGTGGTATCTGAGGATCCTCCACCACGTGGATTGCGTTCATCATCTTCGTAGCCATGGTCCCCTTTGTCATTGTCATTGTTGCCGTCATCCTCCCAAGATGTCGACTGAAAGAAGTCGAAAAATGACTCGAGCTCAAATTTATCTGGATATAAGAATTGTCAGGTGCAATGTAAGGAAGATGGCCTTGCAGGAACAGTGGAACGTACCAGGAGCGGAGAGAATTATGTCTGTCAGATCTTTACCGGGACGCCAGCTAATGAGACAACCAGGGGCTTTGCTGTATCCGAGCTCACCATAGATGTCATCCTGGTCAGTCTCTTTCTCGTAGATGAAGTCTTTCGTAAGCGTCATATTTGTAAAGAAAGGGTTCTCATCAAAGTCAAATAAAATCCTGAACCCGGAGGTGTTTTCGTTCAGGAACTCGACTCGAACATCGCGGAGGTAGCTAAGTGCCGGCTCGTCGTGAGGGCTGATCCACTCAGCAATGCAAGGGTTGTTCTTCATCGCTTGGAGCCAGAAATGGGGAACTCCGGCTGCTGGACATTTAAAGGTTCCGTGGCTCTGGACAACCGTGTTGGAACGCAGAGAGCCTAGTCCCGTCCCATTAACAATAGCCACGCGGTCTTGGAAAAGGCTCTTGCAGCGGGCATAGTGCTGCTGCTCGAGTTTCCACATCTCATCCTGGAATTGCTTATTGAGAGTTAAGTAGCACGACTGGAGATCGAGAAGTCGACCGACGGGTTCAGCGAGGGTTGGGTTCTGTTGAAGAAATTCAGACTGGTATTCATTGGGACCAGTTTCTGGAAGCACTTGTGAACTCATCTTTCTTGCTCTGGATCGCTGTGATAGTGTTTATGTCCGGTGCGGTGGTGCTGCTGTGACTTGACCCCGCGAATGTTGTGAGTGCGAATGAGACAATTAAACCACTTTCAGATATCACACTCGTCGTCAGCTCGTCAGATGACCGAATGGAAAACCATGACTTCGTTTTCTACTCGCAGACAATGCGGACTTTCAGACCAATAAACTGTGCAGGGTTGCCTACCCCGCCATGGCGGGGTTTGGTTGGAAACACGTATCTGAACACTCCAGCACCACCGAGATTTAAGTCTATCTTTTGACATACTTATTCTGGATTCTTCTCGTAGCGCTTGACAACTCAACTTCCGTACCCCTTATTGACATCAGCAGCCTGGTCGTCATGAACTGTTACGGTCGTCAGAATTACGTAGTCCCATTCTGCCCTCAAGTCGTTGCACCGCCATCTCCTCAGGTCCAGTACGTCCGTGTCCCCTACCAAGTCTCAGTTCCTTACCCGGTTCCAATCACGCGGGTTAGAAATATGGGGCGCAGAGCAGAAAGACTGCGACGCGACCGCGACCGCGAACGAGAACGGCGGAAGCGTGCGGAGCAGAAGCGTCGCCAGGACCGCGAACGTGAGAGGCAGCAGCGCAAGCAGCGCCAGCTCGCTCAACGCTACGAGCAACGCCTCCGTGAGGAGCAAAACCGCGTTCTAGAGAATCAGCACAAGCAGGACCTTATCAGAAATCATTACGAGCGAGAAGTTTCGCGGGAGCGCCATCAGAGAGAAGCCGATAACATCAGAAATCATTACGCGCGGGAAGTTTCGCGGGAGCGCCATCAGAGAAAGGTGGATAACCTCAATGCTCAGCACGTGCAGGACCTTGTCAGGAAACATTTCGAGCGAGAAGTTTCGCGGGAGCGCCATAAGAGAACGGTCGATAACCTCAATGCTCAGCTGAGCAAGATGGAACTAAATGGGGTCATCTCGAACTTGAACCTTGTTTTAAACATTATGTTAGGAGGAGGGAGTCTGCCACCGGGCATTAGCCGGATGATAACCTCAGGAAGTTCACCACCCCTTCCTAGCAGCGGTAACCCAACCGCTGATCCCGGAACCTTCAGCGGCGGAAATGGGATGAATACGGTCAACATGCCAGATCCCAAAATCGTCACTCCCAACAGACGGAAACGCAATGGACGCGGCGGACGAGGTGGAGGCGGCCGGCGAGGTGGAGGCGGCCGGCGAGGTGGACGAGGCAGTAGAGGTATAAAGAGCTAAGGCGGAAGTGGAACATACTGAGCAGCTGAAAAGCAAATTAAGTATCTGCAAAGTTGAAGAGAGAAAATGAAGAGTTACTGGTGAAAAACTGTGGGATGGTTAATCTGTTCATTGTGCAATCACTAGCTAACTATATAGAGGTAATCACATGTGGTGGAGGGCCGCCTGGGCAACTAGTGTAATAGATGCAACAGAGATATCTATATTAGAAAATAGCTACATAGTGATAGAAGAATGCAGAACATCTCAGAATTAATGAAAATGAATATAGTATACAACACTATTGATGATTATAGTATATGATAATGACAACATCATCTATATAATACTCACTGATATTTGTAGATCTTAGAAGATCAATAATTAGCTTTGACTAATAGAGATTTGTTATAAACCTGTGGCATAAGCCAGAGCTTATTGAATAAGAACTGAAGAGATGCAGGAATGGAACAATTCTCAACTGAGACTACTATAAAATCACATAACTGCTCACTCTGATCACTGTGTTTATTATAATCATCAGTGAATAAAGTGAGTAAGTGAGCAGAGTAAGTAAGATAATTTGTATGAGAACTCAAATGTATTTAAACACACTCATTACTCTTAGAATCAAGAAGCTTATCTTTTTGATTATAATCAATTTTATTTTATCTTCTCTTTATATCTCTTCACATACTCTTATTTATATTCAAGTTATATAGTATAACTATAAGCTCATTTTAATATATACTTTTTCATAATATCTATTTAAATACTCATTTTATTTTATAAGCTCTACTAGATATTTTTATTGTCTATTTTAGACTGCTGCTGTAGCTATTATTAGTTATTCTAGATATTTCTTTTAATATTATATCTTAATCTGTGATAGTAATACTATCTTCTGACTCAGTGAATAAACTCAGTAATATTATATAAATTTTAATTTTATTTTATATTTAGTAAGAAGCTTACTGAGCTAGAGACTCAGTAGCAATATTGATTATCTCTAATTCAAAATTATAGAGATTTCTATTTAAAGAAACAATTTATTAATTGAGATAAAATTAAGTTTAATACAACTAGCTAAGTTTAAAGATACAAATTTCAAAGCTCTAAAAGAAAGTTAACTATAATATTCAAAACAGAATCAATTATTAATAATGAAAAGTATGATATAAAAGAACTACTCAAGTATTGTAGTAAGTTGAAATAGATAATCAGTACTTAAGAACTTAAATACAATTCTTCTATATTATTCAGTAGAGAATATAAAAAGTTAAAAGTCTTTTTTGATTAAATAAATATATATTTTACTATAAATACATCTAAGCTGATAGAAGAACTGAATAAAATCTTATTAGTATTAATATTTTTAATAGAATCTATATTCAACTGATTTGAATTAAAAATCAGATTATAATTCTATAAAGTAAAAAAAGATTATAATAAATAAATTATAAAAATCTTTTATAGCTATATCAGATTTACTCATCAGCTACAACAGATATTTGAAAATATTAATAAAAAATATTCAGCAGCTCAAAAGCTATATCAGTTTAAATAAATAGAATCAATTATATAATATATATTTAAATATCAATAGCTAAGTTTATATCTGAACTGAGATAGTAAAACTTTAACAGCATAATTTTATCAAGAATTATATAAAGAAATTAAAAATAAAATATTGAAGCTGGCTTAGAAATCTGAAGAGTTATCAATAATAATTAAAATAGCTGTCAGAATTGATAATTGACTTTATAAATATAGATTAGAGAAAAAAGATTACTATATATTCACAATCAGAATTCACAAGAAACAGAGTGACTATTATAATTTATATTCAATGAAATTGAATATCACTCTACTATCAAAAAAGAACAATAATAAAAAATAGAAATATTAATATAAGAAGCTATATTTCAATTGCAAGAAGTCAGAATATATAATCAGATAATATTTTAAAAAATAAAATAAAAGATTATATATAACAATAAAATTATAGAAGATAGAATATCTAAAAGTAATAAAAAAATTTAATAAAAAAAATAAAAAAAGTTATAAAATATAAATTATTAGAACAGAGATTGAAATAATTTATAGATATTAATAAAAAAAAATAAGCTTAAAAATTAGTATATATTCAGTGAGCTATAGATAGATTTTAAACAAATTATAAACAATAAATCTGAGAAGAATATAAATATTATCATCAACAGTTTCAAAATACAAATAAATTCAGAATATATAAGTTATTATATATAGACTGACTATATAATCATGTATGAGACTGAGATTAAATTTTTTCTCAGTTTTATTATTAGATATTTTAGTTCTGATTTCATATAGTGTTTAGTAAATTAGTCACTTTACACTGTTTATATTATAAATCTAGTTTCAGATCATATTTTACTAATAAATTAGTAATCTCAGTCTCATTTGATCTCATTTTATAAAATGAAATCAAATGGGATCATGATTTACTTTATATAGATTGGCAGTAATAGATTAGCAGTGATAGATTAGCAGTGGTAGATAGATTGGCAGTAGTAGATAGATTGGCAGTGGTAGATAGATTGACAGTGGTAGATAGATTGACAGCAATAGATTAGCAGTGATAGATAGATTAGCAGCAATAGATTAGCAGTGATAGATTAGCAGCAATAGATTAGCAGCAATAGATTAGCAGTGATAGATTAGCAGTGATAGATAGATTGACAGCAGTAATAGATTAGCAGCAGTAGATAGATTGACAGTGATAGATAGATTGACAGCAGTGATAGATTAGCAGTGATAGATTAGTAGTGATAGATTAGCAGTAATAGATTAGCAGCAATAGATTAGCAGTGATAGATTAGCAGCAATAGATTAACAGTGGTAGATAGATTGACAGTGATAGATAGATTGACAGTGGTAGATAGATTAGCAGCAGTGATAGATTAGCAGTGATAGATAGATTGACAGTGGTATAGATTAGCAGTGGTAGATAGATTGACAGCGGTATAGATTAGCAGTGGTAGATAGATTGACAGTGGTAGATAGAGAATCTAATAGCAAGTCATCAGAGCATTGAGTACTAAGTAAGATAGAGGTAATATCTTCATCAATTATATCATCAGATTGATGTATTATATAATCATTAGAATGGGATTAAACTTGAGTTAAAATCATAATCAGTCTCAGATCATATTCTTATTTTTGATAGTCAGTTACTTTACATGAAATATCAAGATTTTTTAGTTTCATTTCACTTATATTTTGATAATTCTAGTCACTTTACACTTTTATTCTGATTCTAATCTCACTAAAATAATGTCAAGAAATGAACTGAAATCAAATCAAATTAAATCAAATATGAAATTCATGATCTCACTGATCAGTCTAATTACACAGTGAATATAAATATTATACTAAGTAAATAAATGAAGAAATAATCAATGTAAAACACTTTCAACATAAGAAATATATATTATATAATTGTGATTATGAATATTATATACAGATATAAAAAAATAATATCAACTGGTAATAAATAGATTCAAATCATTTATATTATAAAATTTTTTACTTATATAAAATTGACAACTGTATTTATTATAAAAAGAAAGATGAAGAAAATAAAGAATCATCTAATTCACAGAATATTGAAAACTCAGAGTATTCAAATTATAATATTATTTATTAAGTATTTTATACAGAAGAAGATTATTCTATATACTATAGTAAGAAGAAAAACAATGATTATTACTCTAAGCAAAGATATTTATAAGCTATATAATTTATATACAATAGTGATAAAGAAGATATAATCACTGACAGTGACACAGATAATGAGTATAACTTTATATTAGTCTATATAGAATTAATATCAGAGTCAGATAGAAGAGAAATCATTATATTCTTAAAGAAACAGCTTGAATATATTGAATGACAGCTAAAAAAGTTCAAAAAAGAAAGATCAGAAAAGTTTATACAAAGCTAAATCTAAAATTATAAATAAACAATACACAGAAATAATATAGTTATTATATTGAAAAGATTGATATCAAGAATATAGAGAAGAGAAAAGAAGAAATAACTTCTTTCTTCAGATACTATAAAAAAGCAAATCAATAAGAGCTTTATATAAATCAACTTTTATATCAGAAAAGTTGCAGAGAGACTCAAGAATAACTTATAATTATAAAAAACATCATAAAATATTATAAATTTACTGCTATTATAACTGATGTGAAAGTATAGTATATAAATAAAGTAAAGAATATCATCAATAAAGATTAATAAGATTGACACAATATTCTAAAGAAGAATAAATATATTGATATATAATTATATAAAAACTATAAATATATTATAATCTCAGATGCAGTAAGACAGCATCAATCTTCTGAGATAAAATTATATAAAAAATAAAAGCACAGAATTCAAACTCAGATTGAAAGAAGAATATAATTTATAAAAATTATCAAAAAACTCTTAAACAAAAAGAACAGTCAAAAAATTAGAGACTTACTAAAAAAAAGTATCTTGAGTAAGAAAGAAAAATCAGATATTAGTTATAATAACAGAGTGATAATATATATTAATTCAGATAAATTTAGCAGAGTAAAGTATATATATATTGATAGATTCAAAAATAATCAGAATATTTATAAATAAAAAATATATAATCAGAGTTAAAATAAAAAAAAAGAAAAAAAAAAGTCTATCAGCTACAGAGATTTAAAAAGACAAGTTTTAAACAAGTTAATACTGAAACAGATCTTATAATTATAAAAATAGAAGATTATAAAGAGATATTTCAGTTTGATATTACTGAAATAGAAGAATATAATATTGTTTTGAAATATTTCTGATTATAAAGATATAATTTCAATATAAACTGAAAAGAAGATATTATAAAATTGATGAAATATAAATATATCTCTTACACAGAAGCTCAAGAATTCAGTATTTACAGTATAGAATAGATTAAAAATAAAGTTATAAAAAAAAATTCAAATAATAGAATAGATTAG